AAAATCCACCACTGGCCCAGGACTTTCCCCAGACCTATTTTTATGCCCCTACCCCACCAAAGGAAAATGTCAATACGTCCAACTAAACACACAAACCATATCATACGGCCCATCAACCTGAAGGTTTAAAAAATAATCAATCAGATGGCAATACAATATTGAAGATTTATTCCAATTATATTACTTTGGGGTTTCTAAAAGTGATGATGCATCAGGGCTGCCTAAATCTACCGATTTTTCCTGTAGATACCGATTTTGGGCCTGTTCTACCGACATACCGATAAGGTGTCAAAACTACCGGATTTGCGATGGGTGCCCAGAGAATAAACAGAAAAAAAACAACATTCCGAAAGTTCCGTACTTGCCGCATCATCATATCAACTCCATGCGTTGAGAGAGAGTGAAAGAGAGAGAGAAAGAGATCAGCACTTTCCTCTGTAACTTGTCAGATATTTACGGCACCTCTGGGCAATAAGTTGTAATAGAAACTGCCAGATTGCGTATTTCGTAGACTCGACCGTTGTCTATCTATGCCGTTCGGTCGGCAATAGTTTTTCACGTGCATATCGGCCGAAATCTGTCTACTCACGATAGATAATCTTCCTCCTTCTTTTCATTCATTCTTTCTTTCTGTCTATCTTCTGTTTTTTGCTGCGGCTGGAAAATCTGTGCATTTAATTCATTTGTCCAGAAAACAGAATTGTGAATATAGAAGGAAAATAGGTATCGAAGCAAAACATTTTAAAATCTGTCTTGGTCTAGAGAATTGGTCGGTACCAAAAAAGGATTCTACGCAGGGGGACAGTGGGAATTTATTACTGGTACCCGGGAATCTGAAAAAAAAAAAAAAGCGTCGAGAAAATGCACAAAGTCCTCGAAACCAAATCTGAAAAGCCGTCTGAGTTCCTATTTTACTGGTCGCGTTTGTGGTAGTACGTTCGGTTTTCCCCAGTCCGAGAGTACGTTTCACCCGAATGAGCGGCTATGGCGGCAGGCGGAAGTGTAGGTGTAATACTGAGACTCCATTTGGAAAATCAAAATCTACTTTTGCTTTCTTTACATCTCAGAATTGTCCGATGATAGTTCGTTAACGTTAGATTTACAGTTAACAAAAATTTGTAACCTGCAGTTTGAGCGTAAAAAACACAGTGTAGCCATAAACATTAAATCGATACTCTCACTGATGTCACTATAATGACGAAAAAGGGAGAAAAAGAAAACACCCGTCCTCCAATTTCTAGATTGTCGGGCCC